ATTGCAGTTTGGAGAGAGTAAGGGGAATAAAGTTTGGAGAGCCAGTATTGTTAAGATTTGTCACTAAATCTTTCCTCAGTGATTGAGTTGATAACCTTTGGAATTTAATTGCTTGAATGTTACTTCTTAATTTGCTGCATCGCTGGGGAGCAAGAAAGAGAAAATCGATAGTCATGGAAAACCCCTGAAACAGAAAGCTTTTGCTTTTCTATGACTAATTATATATTATACTTACTATACATTTTGGAAATTAAAAAGAATAACTATTACTATGTTTACATGCAGAGAAATCTGTGTGAACTGTAATCTCATGGTTTGTTGAACTAAATCCATCAGGAATAAACATGGAAGGTCTGATATGGGTGGATTTAGCATACCATTTGAGGAGTAGAGTCTAGTCTGACATGGGGACCGCAGCATGATTTATTTCTTTCAAGAGACTTTATGGACAGGAATGCTGGAGTTGCATTTTAGTACCAGCCAAAACTCTGTTTTCTTGCTTAGAATTTCTGTTTGAATGTCAAAGGGATGCGGTTTTGTAATGGCTGCTGTTGTGATGATTGTGTGGGGTGTTTGTTTTTCTCACCAATTACCAGAATAAAGCAGTTTCTCCCTAACCTTGAGGAACATGGGCCCCCAGATCATTGATAGTGTAACAGTGCACACACACATTGTGGTGCTGGAAGATGTCTCTGGTTTAGGGTGACCAGACAGCAAATGTGAAAAATCGGGATGGGGTGGGGGGGTAATAGAAGCCTATATAAGAAAAAGACCCAAAAACAGGGAGTGTCCCTATAAAATCGGGACATCTGGTCACCCTACTCTGGTTTGGTGTGTTGGTTGTACACCCTTGAGCACCCCGGACTCATTTTTAGCAGCATCCCTCATAACTGTTTGAAAACAAACCTGAGCTGCGTACGTGCCTCACAAGTGCTGCTTCAGTTCAAGGCCCTTCAGTGTCTTGCTGCAGTGCAGGTGGGGCTCAAAGGGGAACTAAAATGCATTTGTTTATGCCTTAATTTAAAAGAACACCATTTCAATGATCCCTGACCCGTCAAAGGATGAAAGATTACAAAGAAATCCAGTTTAAGACAAAATAAAGGATGACACTAGTTTTCACTACTCTGTATCTGCAAAGACCCGAGTTCAGGATTCTGCTTCCCTTATAACACTTGGTCACATCCCTCATCCTTAAACCAGTGGAAGGGGACACAGGTCTCTGTCCTGCTTTGTCTCGTATCAATGGAATTGACCGTTGCCAGTGTTTACAGGGGCCACATTCTGCTCTCACTTTCATGAGGCCTGATGCATTGGCCATTATCTCCATTGCAATTCATGGCCGTTGGTTTGGGCTCATGGCGCACAGCTGGAGCAACTTAGTCAGGTAAGTGGTGTTCAGTGGAGATGCACTGGGGAGAAATTAGTTTACGTTAGAGGAACACAGGCCTTGCAAGATACAGAGCCTGTCTGTTTCCCTGTAACAGAAGGCAGCTTTGTCTTTCATTCTCCTCTCCGTATGCACAGGCTTGTCAAAAAGTCCTTATCCCAAGGGGATCCTGCCATTTCACTCTTTCCTGTTTTCCTTCCTTTGGCTGCATTTAACAAGAATTTCTTCCCCCTTTCACATTCCTTTCTCTTTCTTTAGCAACTACTGTTGCCCCGCCCGCCCATTTCGCAGACAGTGAGTATGACGGGGGCCTTGGCTTTGCTCTGCTGTGCTCTGCATGTGTCTCACCACCAGCTGTGGTGCAATCTGCCTAACATCGTTTCTTTTACATGGGCGAAGACTAAACCCTCTCAGTAAAGAGACTGTGGATAGCACAAGCTGAATTCCTAAGCGGTAGACAGGAAGGCAAATGGGTACTAAACCTTCCAGCCAGATGGAGGAAGAGAAGTCAATAGAAAGATGTAGAGTGAAGTCATTGGGAGTTTTGCCATGGACTTCAGTGGGATCTTTCGCCCCTAGCATTTTGCATTCCATTCCCATTTTGTGGGGGTAGGCTGCTGGTGTGGTCAAAGGGTAGTTTCCTGAGCTCATTTTGGCAAAATAGATAGCGAGAAAGGTTAGCTTATGAGCCAAAAAAGGGAAATACTGAAATGATCAACAGATAATGGCTTGTCTCTCGCTAAGTCTACTGCTAAGTTGCCTCCTTGGGCTGCGGAAGGAAATAATTTCTTTCTATCCAGTTTGATCCTCTTAAATCTGCATCATCAGATTCAGGCTGCGAATCACACAGGGGTCTCTCCCATCTCATGCATGTCTCAGGTCAGCAAGACTGATGCCAGCATGAGAAAGGAGGAGGAATTAAACTCCGGCTTAGCTGCCTACACACCAGCCTGCAGCACTAGTTCTGGTGCCCCATGGGGAAGACTATCAGCTCCTCTATTTTTTAAAAAAAATAAGGATGTTACTTGGTGTTATAAAAAAAAAAAAATCCCTCCCAACTGTGAGTCGTGCTGTGGCCCCTTTGGCATTTGGAAACGGAGACTTGTTTTGCTCTGGGTCCACTGTTCCTACCAATCCATGCAGGAGTGATGCTGGCATTTGCGCTCGTGCGGTCTGCCTTTCCTCTCTGGTGTGGAGTGATGAGCGCTGCTCATAACATTTGTAAGGGGCTTTGAATCTGTCACTCCTCAAAGATGCCACCTGTGCGATACTTTGCTTCCTCTAAGGCCGTTCTTTTTTTTTTTTCTTGGAGCGTGAAAGTGAACTCTGCCCGTGGGACCTCACCTCTTCCGATTCTGCCTCAGGTTGTGGCCATTGTTTGGAAGAAAGAAAGGGGAAGGGTATGAACACGCAGCACAGAGGAGTGTAAAGGCGCCTGGAACACAAACAGCAGAAGGCAGGCCATGGTCCGTTAGAGCTGAGCTGGTCCACGTAGCTCTGCCTTGTGGCCCACTGCTGCTTGCCATATGGGTGGCAATACTTAGGTACAGTAGGGAGGTAAAGCTGGAGGTTTACCTGCCGCTGCTTTGCCACTGTCACAGCCAGCTCTGTGCTAAAGTGGTGTTTCAAGCCCTGAAAGTCAGCCTGAGGTCATTGTGATGCTCCTGAACTCACTAGCACAGGTATTGTTGAGACCAGGAGCTCGGCGGGACCGGGCAGAGAACACCCACTCCCACGGGATGGGACAACAAATATAGAAGGGATAGAAAGTCTTTTCTTTGGGGCAAGTGGAGGTGAGGAAGAACCATCTCGGAGGAGCAGGCTATCTCCTAATTGTCCACTGCGGGGTCTTTTTGCACCTTCCTCGGAAGCAGCAGATATTAGCCAGTGTCAGAGACAGCATCCTGCATTGGCAATTCCGACGTTGGTTTAGCCAGAGCCGAGTTTAGGGTGAACATGGGCTGGGTATCCGAGAATCCCAAAGGATTATTGTTTTGGGTAGAAACCATGTGAAACGGCAGCAGCTTTGTCTGGCTCCTTTGAGATTTGGTTCAGGCTCAGA